TCTCTAAAGGAAAGAAGCCATGTGAAGAAGACATTTAAGCAGAACTCCAAAGCTCAGAAAGTGGTTAGCCAAGAGTGTGGTACGATTGGCATTCCAGGAAGAGGAAATAAGACACATAGGCAATGAGAGCAAGAGGCCCTGTGAGCTGGAGCAGCTGTCTTAACTGAGAGCAAGAGGCCCTGTCTTAACTGCACCAACAGAAGAGTGCTTTGCTGGGTTCTTGATTCTGCACCACTCGCACCCAGGAGGGTTACAGCAAACTCATGGTTCTTGGGGCTAGGGAGGAAACCATTCACCCACACAGAACAGGGTGACTGTTCCCTGTGTGAGGAGGAATTTGATTTTTAAGAGGTGAAATCCTGTTAAATTAATCATGTGCCAAGTTTTAGACTATTAGAATGGAAGAATAGATTTTATCCATTAATTCATATAAATAACCTTAATTTTTTACATTTTTAATAATTTATTATCTTGTGTTTATATCTATATATTGAACTAGTGTATGGCATGGTATGCATATGGGAGTCAGGACAGCTTGTGGAAGTTAATTCTCTCCTTTTACTGTGTAGATGCTAGGGATTGAACTCAGGTCATCAGTCTTGGCAGCAAGTGCCTTTACCAGCTGAGCTATCTCACTAGCCCACAGCCTTTTAAATATTTACATTTCAAGGACTAGAAGTAAGGTCAGTAGTAAAACACTGGGCCTGGTATGCCTAGGGTGGATCTCCAGCACATAAGTAATACAAATAAAGTAAAATCCCTAAATAGTTACATTTTCTTCATACTGCAACATTTTCCTTCTCCCATTCCAAATAAGGTCTTTCTAGAGCTCCGTCATCTTAAATTTGTGTTACAGCTTCTGCTGTGTATCCATCTTTCCTGAGTCTCACACAAGTTCAAAATACTCACACACACACACACACACACACACACACACACACACACACACACACACACAAGTGTGTGTGTGTGTGTGTGTGTGTGTGTGTGTGTGTGTGTGTGTGTCTGGTGGATTTAAGGTTCGCTGTGTTTGTTGTTTCACTGCTAGGGATCAGCCCGAAGGCCTCATGCACACTAGGCAAGCATCCAGCTGAGCTGCATCCCCACCCGTCCTGTATTTTAGTCATTTCCGTGCTCCGTCCTTTCTGCTTGGGCAACTTTTCAAGGGTTCTGTTTGGCTTTCACTGGCCCTTTACCATATGTTCTATCCTTTCCTGCATTCTAAACACTCTGCTTCCTGATGTTCTCTCATACTGTGTTGAGATTGTGTCAGTCATACCACCTCAGTGAGCTTAGAGGGGCTGTGAAGTCGAAGGACAGTGTTTAGTCCATTTTATTTGTCTTTGATACTTGGTTTGCTTCTGTGTACATAAGTTAAAAATACTAATTAGGCTTGGAAGGTGGTTGGTAAAGTGCTTGCCTTGCAAGCAATAGGACCTGAGTTGGGTCCCCAGAACCCACCTAAAAAATGCCAGGCATAGTGGAGTATGTTTGTAATCCCAGAACTGGGGAGGTGGAGTCAGGAAGATCCTTGGAACTTACTGAGCAGCTAGTCTAGCCTAACTGGTGAGCCCAGACCAGAGATCCTGTCCAAAGAAGAAGAAAGAGTTCCTCAGGGTGTCACCTGAGGTTGTCCTCTGGCCTCGACATGCACCTGTACACACTTGGATACAAAATTCATTGAGGTGAGAATCCCATGCTTGTTTGGTACCTATCAAGAAGTAAATGAAAGCCTTGTTCTTGTTTTTACATTCAGCAGGAAAGTCTATATAGGAAACAAAACTTAAGGGTTTTGGTTTTGTTACTATCTTTTGGTGGTGCTGGGGCCTTACCCTAGGGCCTCACATAAACTAGGCAAGCACTTCACTGCTGCGCTATTCTCGGGCCTCAAGTTATTATATAGTGTAATATTTTATATGATCTATAATTTCATTATGACTTGTTAGTTTCCTCAGCTCTATAACTAATAATTGCAAAGAAGTCAGAGGCAGCACTGTCTTAAGAATATGAAGTAAAGTGGTTCTGAATTTTAACAGAATTGCTAATGACATATTTTAATAGTCCATAATTGCATATATCTTCCATGCTTCAATATGTTTTCACAAAATAAATTGTTCAAATACAAACAAATGGCATTAAATTTGCAGTAGTACCACTTAATCACTATGTGCAGCTGTTTCAAAACTATTATTACTATTTCATTGTTCATTTATTTTTATAATTAGAAGGAATATTGAGATAGAATACATACACTGCAGTATTAAGTGGTTCTGAAAACCTCATTTTCTTCTTCTGAATAATAAATACTGCTTCCTGGAACAGAAACCCACATGTCTCATTCTTCTTGTTCCACATTTCATTCTTACTGATGTTTAGCTTTTGGAACCTTTTGCATTTGGGTGAGTTTTATGGAGTAGGAATATTCTTTTGCATATACAGTCTGTTGTTGGAATTCGTTTGGACCCAGCAGTTGTCCTAGATTCTGTTCTTAGTGGGTAGGGATTCCTATAGAATTTCAAAGTTCTCTTCAGTAGGTTTCATGGATTTTGCTTGGTACACCTTTGCTGTTCCTTGGCAGCCTGAGAACACTAGGCGTGTTCTCAGTAGACTGAACTGTCAGAAAGACAGAGCCAGCACTTAAGAGCTCAGAAACGTGGAGCATGGCCTGTTGCAGAGCCACAGTGGAATTTCAAAGACACTGGCTTCGAACATCCCCAGGGAACTGAACTGGATTGCTAGGACAAGACAGGAGGGACACTGAGGAAAAGAAAGAGAAATCATTTTAGGCTCTCTAGAGTAAAGAGACGATGACTAGCTTTTTCACATATGTAACTCTGAGATGACAGTATCAGGCTTAGGGCGTAGCTCAGTGGTAGAACGCTTGTGTAGTCTAAGTGAGGTCCTGGGTCCAGTGCCCTGTCACCACCAGTCAATAAGTCCAGTTTGGTAATAATCAGAAATTTTAAATCAGTGAGGTTAAGAAACCCATCACAGTTGCTCAGCTAGTAAGTAGTTGGTTTAGACTTTGTACCCCTTATATTGCTGATTCCATAATTCCATAGTTTCCTCTTGACTGCATTGTAAAAGTATGTGAAACCACGGGGAGAAAGGACACCACAGAAAATGGAAGTTTCATATAAAACAAACGTGCAGATCCCTTTGGGCATTCTGTAATCTGCATTTTCTGCCAGGGTTTATATAGCAGTCCACTTTGAAAAATAACAAATGAAATACTTGAAACCCATTTCTGGTTACCTTATTTGGATATGATGTTGGACAATTTCCTAAGACTTAAGAGGTTATCATAAAACATCTTTTCAATGCTTGTATTTTAAAACAGCGTAATTATCTGTGTAACAGATACTGCTGGAGGTAAACAATCTGCTTCAGAATTTTAAAGTTTCATAATGTGATGACTGTGTCTCTCGGTAGTTGAGAAAAATTGTTGACAGACTTTTTTTCAATTTAAGTTTTCTCTGATGCTGGGATAGAAGTCAGGGCTTTACATGTGTTACTCAAATGAACTGCATCCCCAGCAATCTTCCCTAACAGTGTTATCCTCCCTCCCACACACTCACACAGACCGCCCCTTGCCTCACTAATGAAGGATTAGTGTATTAAGGAGCAGAAGTTGTAGGCCGGTAGCAGGTACCTCTCATGACACGTTGTAGAAGCATCACCTCCTACTGTGAGTATCTAAAGTCCTTTCATAGAAAGTGCTTTTATTCTATCACCTTTCTCTCTCCCTCCCTCCTTCATAAGAGAAATTAATGAATAAAATCTAAGTGGGAATGGTAGGTGTGACTTTTCATATCAGTGACATCTTTACCTTTTAATAGACAAATATTATAAGCATCTGGTTTCTTTTGCTTTGCAGTATGCTTACAGAAAACAAGCATTTTCCTACTAGTGTTCTTTCTGTATAAATTATAATTATCCTTTATTACTAGCACTCAATACTTAGTTGTGATTTGTCTGTCTTTGAGGTTACCCTTTGGAGTCAGTGTGCTGTGATCTCCTTCTTCTCTCCACCATACACACAGGACTGATAAGTGATCGACTACAGGAGGCAGAAGGCCTCTGTCCCCCCTGCTCCCTGTCCCTGCTTGCCAGCTGATGGTCTGCAGCCCTGCCTTTGGTGGCTTCCTTCTCCCTATAGACCATCCTTTTCTCTCATTTTGACTTGTTCTAAATGGGCAGGGGAAGCAGGGGCTTCTTTGTGGATTTACAGAAAGTGTCATGTGTGGGATCAAAGATTGAAGAACTTAGTTTGACCAATTCAGATGCCTTTGTAAGTATTTGCAACAAAGTCTCTCTAAAAGTCTGTATCTGTGGCCATGTAATTTGTAGGACTAAGGGGTAGCTTGGTGTCTCCTTGTATCCTGTATTATATAGCTTAATGCAGATATATAGAGTTACTTTTCCAATAAATGTAAAGTAGAAGAATGTTTTTTCTTCATATCATTTTCACTATTAAATATAGGCCCAAATTTAAGTTTTATGATTTCTTTTGACATCTGTTAAGAAGTTTATTTGCCATGCTTGCATTTCAACATGACCACTTGATAGCTGAATTAAAGATTACTTTGGCCTCCTCATTTACCCCAAGCAAAATTCTTCTGTTTTCTCCTGGTGGTGGTGACAACAGCAGTGTGTTTAGAAGCTGGTAAGTGCAAGTGAATGGGCTGGAAGATGGCGAGGACTGTCACCTTGGTTTGTATGTTTTCCTTTACTCCTCTCTTACCAACCTACCCACCCTGGTTTTTACTGGCCTTTTCATCTGTAAAGTTAAAAAAAAGTTTCCATTGTTTTACTTTGTAGTACAAGAAGCATTTTAGTAAAGCCCCTCTCTTTCTCCTACAGACATTGGTTAGATTCATTGTGTTGCCCTTTGTGGAAATACATACAGCCTTGCTTCATTGAGCTCTGGATCTGCATAGTATTTGGAGAACAGGACTTACTGACTTCATCTTTAATTCACTTTTCTTTTTGTTATCTAGTTGCTGATCATTTGGGCTGTGATCCTCAAACACGGTTCCTTGTCCCTCCTAATATCAAACAGTGGATCGCCTTGCTGCAAAGAGGAAATTGTACCTTTAAAGAGAAAATATCACGGGCTGCTTTCCACAATGCGGTTGCTGTAGTCATCTACAATAATAAATCCAAGGAGGAGCCGGTCACCATGACTCATCCAGGTAAACAGGAAAAGGGGCTTTAGATTTTGTCTTTCTTTTTTAAATTATTGCTTTGGGCATTCTTCTACCTTTGGTGAAATCATAATCTTCAGTGTAATTCTATGATTATATTAACTTTTGGTATTGTCACTTGTGGATGTCTTTTTTTCCCTTTGGTTGTTTTTTCTTTAATAATGACCAAAACAATCTGTAACGCTTCCTAATGGCTGGCTGAGATTGAGTTCATAGTAGTTTAGCTCTTACACTCTTTGTGTGATGACTTCAGTTATCCTCTGTTTGGTGTGAGGTCCTTTTCCCAGACTGCTGTGGGCTCTCAAGGGTTACCTGTCCAGGAGGGATTCTTTCTGTGTCTTTAGAGTAAGTGTTGAAGCAGCCTTAGTAATGAGTGCATACAGCATTTCTAGATGATTTCTTCATTTCTTGTGTGAAGTGCTTAGGGGAACTGTTTGCATAACCATAGTTATAATTTACTGAGCATTTGCTCTGTGTATGTATGTGTATGCCCACTACCTTGCTGTGGGTTCTTAAGAAGATCTGCTACTCTTGCAGAGAACCTAAGTTTAGTTACAAGCATCTGTGTCAGGTGGCTCACAACTGCCGTAACTCCAGCTCCAAGAGATCCGACACACTCTTTTGTCTTCTGTAGATGCATGTGGGCACACACACGCACAAAGTATATGCACATACATACATACATATAAACAAACCTTAAAAACAAATAGATGTTTGGGGCAGTCCTTGTAGTCACATATGATATAGGTTCTTCCCCAGTCTTACAGATCAGAAGACTAAAGCCAGTAAGAGCCAGCAGAAGAGGGTTAGACCCAAGTTTACTAATGTCCATTCAGTTTCATGAGCCTGGCTCTGAGCTTCTGGGTTTTAATTTAGCTTTACATTCATGAAGATTTATAATATAATGTCTTACTTAAGAAATTGCCTTTTTAATTTTTTTTTTAGAGAAAATACCCTGGGTTTTGTTTGTTTTTACATTTATTTGTGTGTGTGTGTGTGTGTGTGTGTGTGTGTGTGTGTGAGAGAGAGAGAGAGAGAGAGAGAGAGAGAGAGAGAGAGAGAGAGAAAGAGAGAGAAAGAGACAGAGACAGAGACAGAGAGAATGAATATGGGTCAGAGAACAACTAGAGACATTAGATTCTTGCCTTCCACATGGTGGGTCCTGGACAGGTGGATCCCAAGAGCTAGATGACCAGCCAGCCTAGCTGAGACAGCAGACTTCTTGTTCAGTGAGAGACTCTGACTCCGAGACGTAGGGGCAGTAGAGGAAGATTCCTGACACCCTGCACCCGTGTACCTGCATAGTCACATGCTTGCACCACACACACACACAAGTGAAGAGTGGGGAGTTTGTCCGGTAATGCAGGTTTCTCATCTGCATTCCTCACAACATCCCTTTATTCTGACACGCTATGGAGAACCCAGTGAAGAAGAAAACATAAAGGACAAGTTTTGGGAAATGCTTGGATTAGTGTACATTAGATACATTGAGGTCTCAGATGTATGTCTTAAAGGGACTAACTCTTTGATAAAATCATTTGCTGAACTTGATTGACCACACAATTCTTTATCATCGATTATAGTAACAACAAAAATAAAGAGGTTCAGAAGCAAAGTACAGGGTGAATTCCAGAGGAACTGCAACTTCTGTAAGGCACACAGAATAGAGGTGTACGTACATAAGGCAGTAACAAATGGCATTGCATTGCGTCTAGAAATACTGTATGTCAGTCCCATTAGAGAAACCTATGAATCAGTAATAAGATAAGCCTAATGTTAACAATAGATAAAGGATTTGGTGATTAGACATTTCAGTAATCATTAGAAAAAATGCGATCTAAACAATGAGATACTGTTTCACACCCATTGGAGTAAATGTAACTGCTGTTGGGACTATGGAGCCAGCTTGGAAACAGTTCAGCAGTTTCTCTAAACTTAAGCATAGATTTACATACAAGCCACAGTCTTACCTCTAGAGGCCAACACAAGAGAAACAGAAAAAAGAAAGCAAACAAGAGGGGAGTATCCACAAAGACGTACATTTAAATGTTCTAGTAGAGTATTTCAAATATCCAAACTAGAAACAACCTGAATACCCATCAGTTAGTGAGTCAATAAACAAAACAATGTATGTCCATAAAGTGGGATGCAATTTATCAACTAAATGGAATTAACTGGGCTACAGGAAGATTGCTGTGGGCTAGGGGCCAGACATGGCTACATATTGAGTTTTAGGCCAGCCTGGGCTACAAAGTGAGACCTTGTCTCAGAAACCCTACTGAGTTTATATATGGATAAACCTCAGAAGTGGTATGTTAAATAAAAGAAGCCAGACACGAAAGCCAACTGTTGCCTGGTTCTAGTTTATATAAAATATCGAGGAAAATCAGATTTAGAGAGACAGAAAGCAGGATTAACGGATGAGAAAGATAACTATTAATTGAGTGGGGAACTTTCTGGGAATGATAAAAATCTTCTGAACTTGGATTGTGGTGATGTTTGTACATCACTATAAACTTACTGGGTTGTGCACTTACAAAAGGTCAGTTTGGGCTGGAGAGATGGCTTAGTGGCTGACTTCACTCAGCACTTGTAACTCCATATCCAGGGGGCATGATGCCCCCTAGCCTCTGTGTAGACCTGTACTCATGTGAACATGCCCATATACAGACACATGCATTTTTTTATTTATTTTACATACCAACCACAGTTGCCCCTCCCTCCCCTCCACCTGCTCTCCCCACATCAAGGCTGAGTAAGGCATCCCATCATATGGAATGGGCTTCAAAAATCCAGCCCATGCACCAAGAATAGATCCTGGTCCCACTGCCAGGGGTCCCCTTTTAATCTTAAAAACAAAGAAATATAAATCTATGACATGTAAATTATATTTCGTTAAAGGTATTTTAATGCAGACTAAAGATAAAAAACAATATAAAATAAATTTCTGCTGAGAACTTGTCGTTTTAGTCTAATACTGAGGGAACATGAGACAAGGCAAAAAAAATCAGAGGAGAATAAAGTCACAGAAATAGTCTGCTTCCTTTTGCTAAAAAGGACATAATTGGGACAGTTGACAAAATAACAAAATAAGAATTTTTTTTGTTGTTTGTTTTTGGTTTTGTCTTGGGAGTTTGGGGGAACAGGCTTGTTTTTTTGTTGTTGACAAGGTTTCTCTGTGTAACCACCCTGGCTGTCCTGGAACTTACTCTGTAGAGGCTGGCCTTGAACTCACAGAGATCCACCTGGAAATAAGATTGTTTAACTGAAACAGTTCTGAGTTATAGGTCGTCAAATATTTTTACATTGATACATTGTCAAGTGTTCATGGATAGTCTGTTGTTACTTTTATTCCCATTTTAAGGATTCAGAGTAGAAATTAAAAGTCTGTAAGGATAAAAACTATATTTCAAAGTAGGTGTAAAATAGAGAAGTGCTTTGCCTCCTGATAGTGAAGACATGTCAGGTGTCTTTGAGGGTTAAACTGAATGATTAGTGACAGATCCAAAATCTGCTTTTTGGTCAGATATAAGCCGAAGTACACTATTAGGGTGTTTTATTTAAATAGAAGTTACATAATTATTCAGATAAAAAGCATGGACATAGTCTTAATAAAAAGCAGTAGGAATAAATTCATCCATTGAAAGGATTTCTATGATACAATTTCACTTAAAAGATTTGACAATAGTATTTTATTTGGGAATTATCTGTAAGAAGGCTCATATTTGCATGTGCAAGGCCTTTAGGTTGTTCTTGATAGGAGAGCTTTTGCACTGTTTTGTTTGAACTCCTAGGCTGTTGCTCATTGCTTCCTGTTTTCCAAACCGAACAAATTCTTTGTCTCAGCCTGTTCAGTGAGTTGAGACTCACTGTCTTAGTTAGGGTTTTCTATTGCTGTGAAAAGACACCACGACCACAGCAATTCTTATAAAAGAAACATTTAATTGCAGTAGCTCTCTTAAAGTTTCATCAGTTTAGTCCATTGTCATCATGACAGGGAACATGGCAGCGTGCAGGCTGACATGGTACTGGCTGCGTCCATTGTCATCATGACAGGGAACATGGCAGCGTGCAGGCTGACATGGTACTGGCTGCGTCTTGATCAGAAGGCTGCAGAAAGTCAACTGACAGTCACACTGGGTGGTGTCCTGAGCATAGGAAGCCTCAGAGCCCACCCCCACAGTGACACACTTCTTCTAACAAGGCCACACCTCCAAATAGTGCCACTCCCTTTGGGGGCCATTTTTTTCCAAACCACCACACTCACCATCAGAAAAACATGACAGTGAGATATATATATATATATATATATATATATATATATATATATATATATATATAGCCAAGAGAACCAGACTTTATTGATCTTTACTGAATTAATGTGGCAACCCCAAATTGGCAACATTAAAATTAAAAATCACCCACATCCAGGGGATCTGATGCCTTCATCTGGATTCATGCTCGTGCTGCAGACACATAAATTTAAGTTTAAATAAATTTTAAGTCTAAAGCTGAAACTGTCCACTTAGTTCTCCAAGCCTGGAGTTCCCATTGTACCTGGAGTTTGCATTAGTACCCCCTCCCATCTAATGTATTGATAATAAGTGAACACTTTAGAACAAGATTTCAAACCTTAAGGGACAGACAGGGGCCTGTGAATGGTGCTCACAGGGGACAGTGATTTTTGTCTGGCTTACTGATCTCCATTTATGGTTGTCCCGGCCTCTTCTATTTTGTTCTAGTCTCCAAGTCATGTCTAAGTTTGTCACAGGGCTAGGGAAGATTGCTTGCCCTAGTAAGCCTGATAACTGGAGTCCAGATCCCCAGAACACACATAAAAGCTGGGCACAGTAACACAACCATTTGTAATGCCTGTACCAGGAGATGGCAGGCAGAAATAGACTCACCGGAAGCTGATGGCCCAGATAGCCTGGTGTAGGCAGCAGTGACCAAGAGAGGCCCTGCCTCAAACAAGGTGAAGAGTGAGG